TATAAAAATAATTTTGCATAAATTTTAAAATTACAAATATTTTAAGAGAATTTAGAATATATTCACAGTTTGTAAATTTAATATAATATAGATTATTTGTATTTAGTTTGACGTTTAATAAAATTAAAATACATAATTTTTTATTAGAATTTGTATTAAGAAATATAAAAGATATAGTATTATATTTAAATTTAAATTTTATATATATATATATATATATATATATATATATATATATATATATACAAAATTTAATGCAAAGTCATCACACTTTCTATTTTTTAGTTGGTAAATATTAAAGTTGCATTTACTATTGGTAATATATAAAAGCTATAGAATATTTTAAATACTTTTTTTCAAAATAATTCACAAATTAAATTTAAAATAATATTTAATTAATTCATGAGTTGATTATATAGGCTATTTTTTAAAAATTGAATTGTAGAAATATTTGCATCTATATTTTCAATAAGTCCATGAAAATTATCTTTTTGTTTTACTTTTTTATATAAAATAGAGTAATAGTTATTAATATTAAATATAATATATTTTATCATATATATTTTAAATTATTTAAAATATTTTTTATTCTAAATTTAAAATTTATTTAATTATCTTAATATTCAAGCAACATATATTTTTTAAATTTAAACGTTTGTACAAATTAACATCATTTTTTTCAAGTATTATTATTTTAAGTTTTAATTATAATAATTTTTACACTTTGTTATATATTTTGAAAAGGAATTCAAATATATAAATATTAATATGTGTGAAATGATAATTTAAATATTAATTTATTTTGTAATTATAAATTATAAATTTTTCGTTTTATTTCAAATTTCACTATTTAATTCAGTTCTTGTTTTTGCTAGCTTCCATAGTACATAGTATTTAAGTTTTTTATTTGAATATTTTATCTTATCAATCTTATTGATTTATATATTTACGAACAATTGATGTTTTTAATTTTTAATTTTTTTGACTAAATCATTTTTTGTTAAATAAATAATTTATAGTGCATTACATAACATTCTCTATTTGATTTATTTTTCTACTACTAATTATAATATATTTTCAGTTTTAGATAGATTTATTTTATTTTATTTTTCATTCAGAAATTATAATCTTTATATGAAATGTTTAGATTATTGAATAGGTACTCTTTCAAACTAATTTAGATTGTTGCCATAAACAATGACGATGTATTAGATATAGAAATAAAACAAAGAAATGCATCATAGACAATTGATTATAAACGTATTAAAAAAATGGTAAAATTTAAAGCTAATCCAAAAAAATTAAATTAAAATTTTAGATTACCATTAGAGGCCATGAAAATAATTTTATGGTACTCATATGTTGGCAAATATATCATAGCATGCAGTAATTAAAAATCAATTAGCATTATTGTGATCACACATAAAAATATGTTCAAATGCTATTATATTTATTGTCTTATGATACCTTTAACACTAGGTAAAAATCAGCAAAAAATCATGTGTAAAACTCTAATTTGACAACTCTCCTTCTTTGCAGATATGTTTGGGAACCAAAACATTGTTCATTTTTAAATATTTATTTCATACATGTGCACCATGTTTATATCCTCATAAAGTATTCACCACATATGGACATCTTCTTTATGAAGTACATGCACTGTCATAAAGGTGTTGAAATATATTCTCTAATGAATACGTACATACATACCTTTTGTTTCTCCCTTGAAATTGATGCTGGTTTCAATTAATAAGCACAGAAATATCTGACAGCCTTTAAATCAAAGATGAAGTGAATGTGTTTGTGTCCAACATTAACAGTGGAATACACACAAAAGGTCGTTACCAATGAATATTAAGGCGCTAAAAAATATTATTATATTTCGAAATTATCACATGAATTAAAAAGTACCTAATTTTTATTGGGTAATAAATATACATTATTTTGGAGCATGTTAATAAATTTTGTGTTTAAATTTTATCATTTGCGTATATGACTCATATAAACACCAGATCTGGCTTATATCATTGTTCGTGTAATTAACTTTTTTAACTTTTTAATGTATGTATGTCAAATAATAACGTTGAATAGGAGTAGAATGCATTAGATGGATGATATAATATATGTATATATATATATATATGTATATATATTTTAAATATGAACATTCATAATCTTCTTCTTTTTGCCACATATTGCAAGTACAACATCATTTTTGTTGCATAATTTAAATTTTGAATATTTGAAGAATTATCTCATGAGATATAGTACTACCTACATATTGTTTTTATTGTGAGATATTTCTTTAATAAATAAATTTATTTTATTTTTATTTTATTTTGTAATACACTTTTACTTTCAAAATTGTACTTAATGTTACTCCTAAATTTAGACATTTTCCTCAATGATGATTTGTCAATCATCCATTTGATATTCTTTAAGTGCGAGCATTGTATATTATGACTTTTTTTTTCTATTTTAGTACTAATAATTACTCTTGAAACATTAGTTATTTGAATAAATGATAACTAATCTGAAAATAATTACTGAATTTTATGTTGTGATTAAAAAATAAAGTTTACATAAGCTGTATTGTTGTTCTGAACATAACTCCAAGTTAAATTTCAAAGTTATTTTTAAGACAATTTAAGTTGTCTCAACTATCGATGTAGAGATATAAATGAGCTTAATAAACACAAGAATTGTTGCTAATTTTTGTATCTGATATTAATCAACAACCACTCATTTCACAAATAAAACTCTACTTTGATTATGACATTGTTTTGAATCCATTTAAATGTAAACAATCTAAGACAATATAATGCATAATATACAATAAGGTGAAATTTTTAACAAGAGAAAAAGTTAGTTGAATTGCCAACTGGCTTTCTAAAGTTGAGGATAATCTTGAAGAAAATGGAAAGAAGTAATAGAAAAACATTAAGAATCAATTCAGGTTAAATGAAATTAATTTATTGGCTATTGTTGAGGGTGTAAACAACTACAAAAGCAATGTGGTTAAGAATCAAGTTAAAGATTAACAAGCTCCATCTCAAAACCAAGAGTTGAAATGAGCCAACCCCAATCAATGGTTTTACACTATGTATCTATATATATATATATATATATATATAATCTCATTTTATAATGCACCGCTATTTTAGATAATCTTTGATTCTCTTCAGCAGAAAAGCCAAGAAAATCGAAATCGTTTTGAAATTTCAAGACATATATAATTTTTTCTGTTTTGATCATATAGATGGGTTTTTCTCAATTCAAATTTGCATTTTCTTCCAGATTATACTTGATCAGTTCAAACATTGAAAATAAGTAATTAAATTTATTATACATTATCCTTGCTCAATATGTGTGAGGTATTCATAAATTTTATTTGGTGAAACTCAATGTACTTGTTCTATAATTCAATTTACAAGGAATAATTTTTAGAAATTAATAGTTATTAAATATAACAATGTAGATTAGGAAAAAAAATGTTTCTTTCAGAAATCAACAAAACAACCTTTCTTTAAAAACGCAATAGAATGCAATAAGAATGAAAAAATGTTGTAAAGAGATTCGTTCATCCTTAGAATTGGAAAATCACAATAAGATTCTTACATCTCTTTGAAGAAACAAAAAAATCTTTTTCTATTGTTAACAACAGACAATAAAGCATGGGCAATAATATCTCACATTGGAGTAGATTAAATGTTAATCGTTGCTGTTAAAAAATAATAAATAAAATGAAAAGTGAAAAGTCTAGTGATTGATTGCAAGCATAAGTAGTGTTGATCCAACTAAACCATACCAAATTTATTGCAACAATAGCTGTAGCAATGGTTTGTGTGAGTGTATGTTTTTTTAAGTGCCTCATTTGATTTGGTTCTCATTGCTGCCAAATTTGGATTGATTTCCATCATTTGGAACAAACCATGATTGCATTTTTAAAAAGTGATGCACTTGAGCCTTGATGGGGGCCTTATCCAGTACTTTTTTCTCTTAAATTCCAGACTAATTTTATCATAAAATAACAAAACATGTAGGAATATGAACAAAATGAAATTAAGATGAAGTTAGCAAACAATGTATTCTCTGCGTTTTTTCCTATGTAAATTGAAGCTGTATTGTAAAGAATACACAATCACCATCCAATGTTTAATGTTATGATCGATCATCACAGAAACTCGCCAACAGTATAAAAAAGAAAACAAATAACAGTAAGAAGAAGAAGAAGAAGAAGAAGAAAATGGTATTGTGATCATTTCCATAATCTCCTTTGACTCACACTTCGACCCACACTGCACACAATGATCAACTTTTTTTGCTAAAAAGCAAGCTTCACCATTCTCCTTTGGATGGTCTTACAACCAAGGTTTTCATGGATTCACACCCCAAAACAACACTAAATCACAACACATGTAAGGAAATGGTTTTTCAAACAAAACCTAACCAAATCAGAGGATGACATGACTGCATAGGAATTGAAGGTGTAGGAAATGGAAGCAACAGCAGCGCAAAAGAAACCCATGGGGAATAGAAAATGCAGGCTCCGTGAATTTCACAACATTATAAGAAATGACCAAAAAAGCATTGTAGTAGTAGTATCATGGGTATGGGATACCATAAGACGATACAACCAGGCGAGCTTGTGCCATGGCGGTGGTGCATTTCACAGCGAACGGTGAGGTGGAGATGGAGATGGTGTGTGTGTGTGTGTGTGTGTGTTGCGAGATCGCCATGTCGAGCAATGGTAGAATTGAACTGGGTCTGTTATCACCCTCGTCACAATGCATAAAGCAAGCAACGCCAGAGATATGCAAAACCACGAAGGGAAGGAGAGGAAGGAAGGACGAAGTGAGTGGAAAGTGGGCAAAAAGCAGCAGGAGCAGCAAGGGCAGCAGTAACATCGCCGAGACAACGTATGCCAGGCTGCGGTGAATGCGAACATCAAGGCTGGGGGCCTTCATCGTTGCCTGCACAGCCTCCAGCGAGGGGGTGGATGCTTCGCTGGGTTGCTAAAGGATCTCTCGGCAGTCAGTGGCTGGTTGGCTGGATGGTGGTGGGTTGGTTGGTTGCCCGTTTGTTTGTTTGTTTGTTTGTTCGTTTGTTCGTTTGTTTGTTTGTCCTTCATCAGCACTTGCTTGGTTCGTGAGAGTCGGGGCGGAACACAGAGCTGCTGTTGCTGCTGGAGCAAGAGCCGGGAGGAGTGCCTACAAGCCAGAGAGCGCATTCAAACGTCCCCCACCAGCGGTCGCCAAGCTGCTGCACCAGAGAAGCAGTATTAACAGTACCAGAGAAGCAGTATTAACAGCACCAGGCTCCGCCAGGCATTTAGTATCTTCTGTTGCAGAATTGATTGTTATTTCCTCCAGTGCAGCCCTGGCCGGGCCTACGAGGTAGGCAGGGCGGAGGGAGGGCCCCACTTAGGGCCTCATAAATGCTGCCATGGGTGATAAGTCGGAGGAGAAATCTGCTGTTTCGGTGGGATCACAATTTTGAAGCAGCCTGGATCACATTCAAGCGTGGTGGACAAAAGGATGTAAAGGGGTTTTTCGGAGCTGGGGACGGAAGGCGTCTCGGCTAGCTCGGAGCCCCGGCTAGGATAGTAAACCGATCATTCAGCAGTACTCTGGTGTTAATGAGTGGGGAACAGCCTTGAAGCTCAAAACCCACTGACTTGCCCCTCGGTGTCGGTCACAGCAAGCCCTGCAGCTCGGCAATTCAAGCGGGGTTGTCACTAGACCTTTGCGGAGTCTCGTACTTGTGCTGCCGCTAGCGGATTCCGCACTCGGGCACCGTGCAGGTTTGCCGACCCCGAATCGTCCCTTGCCTTCCAGTGTTTCTGAGAGCTTGGTTTCCAGTTTATCTAAGAGTCTGGATCGTCGGTCTGAGCGTGTGAGTGTAGGTGAGGAAGTTCGTGGACCTCAGGTAGCTGTGGCGAGGTTTAGTAGTGCTGGGAGGCGAAACCAAGCCTGCGGGATGTGGTAGCGATGGAGGTTGCTTGGAGAGGGTCAGAGCTGTGCGGTCCAGTGCTGGACATAAAGAGTAAGCGCGCATGGGGGGCAGATGCCCATAAATTGATGCAACTGATGATGGGCCAGATTCCGTCCGAGGATACGAAGCCAGCAGCAGCCACGGAATCAAGTGTCACTCTGGATTTGTTTTGCAAGGCTGATCCATCTCCGCGCTGCGCAGTGCAATTGGGTATCGCCTGTAATACAACCTCCTCGCCGGGGTTTCTGGAACTTGACCCCAGTGAGGAACCCCTCCCTTCCGGCTGGGAGAAATGCCTGGACCTCAAGGTATAGCCCTCCTTCTCGAATTGTCCTCGCATCTCGAGGCTGTCCACGTGAAAGTGTCGGTAGCACTGAACCGCTCTCGCAACACAACTTAGTGGTTTGGCCATCATTCGGAATATGCATTCGTCTAGTAGTTGGCAAGGTCATGAGAACGCTTTTTACATCTGGTTCTGACGATGATATGGTTCTGTGCTTGCAGACAGGCAAGCTCTACTACGTGAACAAGAGCTCTGGTGTGAGCAGCTTGGACAATCCCCGGAAGCGATGCACTACCGACCTATCACTCGCCCATGAGTTTCTGGGCAGTAAGAAGTCCGAGACTCTCCAGCAAGAGAATTTGATAGCATCATCCTCTTCCTCGTCAGGAAATCCTCGCCAATGCAGCAGACAGAAGCAGCAGCAGCATTCCCAGCTCTCGTTGTTTGCTACGGGAAAGCAGCAGTGGAACTTGCAGCCTGACGATCGTCGTGGTCCTCTGAACTGCCGATACTCCCCGGAACCGGCGGAGGAGCCTGAATTCCACTTGGAACTGGACCTGAATTTGTCCACGGGGGGCGCGTCCTCTCCCTCGCGTCGTCCGGAGCAACAAACTGTGTGCACCATGGAGATGATCCAAAACGCACTCAAGAGAACAGAGTCGAAACCCAGTCTCATCAAGCGGGAGTTTCTGCCCACTCTGCAGCACAAGTACTCTTCCTTCACATCTGTCGTCTCCGCCCACTCTGGGTCGTCGGGTGCGTCTCCATCCACAAGCAGTTCCTCGTCTACTTCCCCATGGCTCGGTCACGGAGCAGCCCCTCTGGACGAGTCGCGGCAATCCTTCAAGTCATCCATCACAGGGTATGTTGCGCATCAACGTCTCCCTTGTGCTTGAAAATTCTCCAAAATTTTAATCGCTCGCATCGATCCCCACCCTCTTTAGCTGCGTTTTCACATGACTGATTGTTTTCTCCTGCTGAAACGTCTCAGATGTGAAGCTGAATGTGCGAAAGCTGAGAACGTCGCCGCCGGCTCTTGTGAGCTCGTAATGGCAGCTTGCACGCGGTGCCTCACGTACGTGATGCTGAGCAGAGGCGATGCAAGATGTCCCAGATGTGAGGCCGAGGTGCCAGTGAAGTTCGGCAGCGCTCCTGTTTCCAAGAGACAGAGAGTAGGGCCTTCCTACGATCCAGACAGAAGGTAGTTGCGAAAGATGCAGAGAACAGTAGGTTAGATTTTTGTGTACTCAATTTTGGGTTATTTCTTAGGAACTGTCTTGGATCCGTGTAAAATCAACCTTTTTCGCGGAATTCTCCACCAGCTTCAGCGTTTGAGATTTAACCAGGGAGAGGGATTGGCTAATACTCGTTCAGAGTGGGTTTGAACGCATTCTCCTCTTTTTTGTATACTACACATGTAGCAGTTTTTACGTCTTGTGGCCCGCTCATCAGCAGCGGCATCAACTTGTACCATGGCTTCGTTGTTAATGCATAAATAATGACCATCTACTTCACTGGACATCGTTCTTGCTATTTTGTTTTAACCATAACTGCACACATCCTTTTGTGATTTCTTGCATCACGCTCTGAGACTAGTATTGCACTCTGTGACCTCTTGATTGACTCTTGTAGCCAGAACTGCAAAAAAATTGGTTATTATTCAGGTTCTGCCTATGTCCCGTAGTAAGCTTCATTACTGGCTACAGAAACCAACTGTCGGCAGAATGCAGATGATGCTGAGTTCCTTGGCACATTGCAGTATGACTTTCAAATATATATATTTTTTTCACAAGCACTAAAATTTAGTAACCGCTTATTAGAACAAAACATTCAAACTAGTTCGCAGATTCTGATTCTAATCTACAATATCCCTTCGTGAACGTAAACTACACCACCTCTACATGCGTGTGCAACATCGCCCTTGTATTCTAATTCTATTGGTTCGTTTCCGCCCTGCTTTAACCTCGTTCATTTCCGCTGTTCGCTCAGTAGACAATACTTTAAGGCCGGAAAATTCAAAAAATTAAATAAATTATAATCGGAAAAGAGTAAGGGGAGAAAGGGGGTTAAGTTTTCATCATGCTTGCATATACAGTTAGATGTGGAACACCGTGTCTTTCCATTCAAGCTGGCAGGCCAGTGATAAACTTGTGAGGCCCGGCCATCAAACCACCTCTTCGAATGATGCAGCTGCACTTCGATATCAACAAGCCAGCAAAGCCAGCAAAGCCAGCCAGCCAGCCTGGAAGGCTCCCCAACAATCACTTCTGCACCGACTATTAGGGTGGTGCGGATAGCCGGGTCAAAGGGCAAGCAAGTCACTTAGCTACCTGCCAATGGAACTGACACGAAAGTTGCGCCACTTTACGGGGATTTGCATTAGTCAAGGAGGTGCACGAACGGGGCTACTACCAGAATTCCTTGGAACCCAATACTTTAAGGTCTAGTATACAGATGCTCTTGGACTAGCTACTGGCATCCGCAACCCACTCAGCTCCTATCGACGGTCGCTGTAGTGCCATGCGAGCTCCAATCCTTCGCGACAACGAAGGCGTCTGAGTGAGTCACATTCAGTGCGACTCGTCCATCTTAATATGTGCCAACTCCCAAGTTATGGCCGCTTCGCAGTACTGGACTCTCGACAAGTGGAGAAAAGGGATTAATGGAAAGGAAAACTTAAACCTGGTCTCACATTGGTGAAATTTTTTCGCAAAGGAAATAGACTTGAGGCACAGTTTTGATGGTAGCACAACCACTTCATTTCCTTGTTGTTTTGATTTTTGAATGGTTAAACCACGACACGGGTTTGAATGACGAAAGTGGACTTGAGAGTGAGTACACTACCATTCATCCATCTTCCACTGTAGCTTCAAGCCCTTCAGTGAATAATTTCTACCTTTTCATCGACAAACCAGTTGGTCTGTATCTGGTGGTTGCTTCGAGGGTGAAAAGGTAAGGCCAACTTTGCCCCCATGCTGCAGCAACACCGAGTGCGTGACTTGAGTGTCATCCAGATGCTCCGATACTTATCACCACAGCGATGAACACCTGGAGCCAGTCGAAGTGTCCAGATTTTGCATGCCAGTTTCGTATAATCCACGGTAGAATCAACTGGAATTTTGAAATCTCTTGCTTCTCAAGTATCCCATTTAAGAGACCTAGGGCCTGCGAGGTGGCGATTGGAGGGGGATTTTTCATGGCCACTTCGCAAGGCTACATCTCCTTTTGCAATAACGAACATGAGACACAGCTGGGAGGGCACGATGGGGAAATTTTCACAAAAAAGATCCGATTGTTGGGATCATCCTCCTTTCCCTAATCCACGTGGCTGGGGCGCATTCGCATCAAAGCTGGTCCACCTAGGCTTGCCAGCCCGCATCCGATCATGCAATGCAAAATTCCAAACTTCAATGTAGTTACAAAGAGACACGCAGACATAATCTTCGGCTTGACCTTGCCAATGCGGTGGGTACCCTGGAGTCTTTCAGAACATCACTCAAGCTTTTGCGGAGGCTCTAGACTTTGTCTTCGCTATGCTCCGATCTCCAGAAATCGACAGTGATCTTTTAACAAACATGCGCACACTAAGGAATCAGATCGCCAAAATCGAAAACTGCCTGTATCAGTTAATCCTTGACTGAGAAAAATTAAACACCCGACAGATAAAAAAATTGGACAACTAGGTACCAGACTAAGAGTGTGGGGTGGGGGGAGCTTCAGAGGCTCGAAGGCGTTCACTGCAACGTCGGAGGATAGCCAAGGATTATGAGCTTTGGATCATGCTGAGGACGCAATAACTGAGGGAGCCTGGGGGATATAAAAGAAAAAGGATCCTAGGGGGGCGGAAAGTCAGATGAGGAAGCAGGGGGGCTCATGAAGGAGGAGTGGGTGAAGGGAAGCCCTCTCCTTTACAAGCTCTCATTTCGAATCACTGCACGTCAGATATCAGTAACTATTAAATTCGAGACTCGCTTCCATTAATCCACGCCACTTGTACATCCAGCACCCTGCCTAGTTCTGTGCTTATTGTCCCTCCGCTCTCTTTACTTTACTTTCTCTCTGTTTTTTCTTTTCTCTCTCTCTCTCTCACCCCTTGTCTGCTTTTTCTCATCCCCTCCCCTCACAGCCTCTGGCAAGGCCGTTGGACCACCCCCTCAGCCCCTCTTTATGGTGCTCTTTACGTCAACATGCCCGTGTCCTTCTCCTTGCAGCAGCAGCAGCTCTCTCGACCTTCATCTGTCCAGACCCTGGAGCCGCACATCCACGGATGCCATGCGATATGGGCAACGCAAACCAACTGATCAGGTCTCTTCATGGTCTTGCCCTGCCCTACCCTGGCCTTTTGCCATCAATTCAGGGCTGTGGTGGTATTGTTGTTGCTGCTGCTGTTGTTGTTGTTGTCATCTAGGGTTCTGCATGCAGGAGACAGTCAAAGCAGCATTCAGAAGGTGAAACACTCTCTCTCAGTAGCTTCCCTGGATTCACCTCATCCTGGCTGCTGTGAGATTCTGTTGCCTTTCTTACACTTGCCACCAGATTTTATTCTGTTTTTTGTTGGACAGAATCCACACTTTTTGCGTGGAAAAAGTCTGCAATGCATTGCTTCTTCCAATCTTGTTCATAGATATTTTTGGTTGCAGTTTAAATACTTAAATGTTTGATTCATTTGTGTTTTTATTTCAGTGGACAAGACTGCATTGCTATCTTTTTTCATGCATTTTTACTGCATTCGAAGTTCATATAACTTGATGAAAATTAACATAATTTTTGTATTAAATGCGTATTATGTTTTTTTAATGTTTTTTATGATTTTTAAATTATTTTTATTGTTAAAAAAAGTGTACTGGCATGCTGGTACTACAACTGCAATTTTATTGTGCTGGTGGGAGCCAGTAGGTGAACTATTAACAATAATAATAATATATATATATTTTTTGAAGAACAAACATTTAAGTCATAAAAATTTAACATAGCCGAAGGAAAATATTGATGGACGTCACCCACGACACAAGTTTCAATCTTCAGAATTCTTTAACAAAAAAAAATATCAAAATCAAAATCAAAACCCTTCTTGTAGCACGAGGTGATTTTTTAAGAAGAATAAAACGGACATTGTATTAATATTCCTTTGCTAATAAAATATAGAATATGCTATTAATGTTAGAAAACCAAAAAATATTCATGAAACTGTATGTTTATCCATTTTATCTCAGTGTCACCAAATTCTTTTTTTCTCCTTTAACATTCAAGGATTGTACATTATTAATAGGATTTCACCTTTTACCATATATATATATATATATATATTTATATTTGTATAGTTTCTCTTATTTTTATTGTAGCCCCCTTACTTGGTTGATTAGTTTGTGTATATATTCTACTCCTAACATATACCCATGTGTATAAATATTCAAGTTTTTTCTAAAGGTGAGATGCAGGTGGTGTGGAGACCACAGAAAATCAAAGTTGAGTTTATTATTACTCCTACTATTGCTATATATTTTTTTATTTTTTTATTTTCAAATGAGTTAAAGTCGAGCTTTCTGCTTTTGTTTTGGCCCATGACCTTCTCCCTGTCTTCTCCTGTTTTCTATTTTCAATTCTCAAATTATTTCATGTGTGGGCTCAAGCTGGAGTCATGAGACTTGAGCATCCTAATTTGGTGGAAGGTGCCTTATTGTTTACCCTTTGTAGACAAAGCAGAATGATTATCCAATTCAGAATAAATAGGACACTAATCAAGGGCAGATCAGCCAATTTAATCCCCAAATCCAGTCCTCCTCATAAAGCTGCATCACAAGACAAACACCACTCAGATCTATTGAGCTATCCTGTGAACTTTATCTTTTAAGTTCACTCCGTATTATCCAGCTTCGACACCAACAAAAACATTTTTGAAATATAAAAAACTTTAATCCTACTAAATAAATAAATAAAAAAACAACCATAAGTATGTCAGAGAATGCCTGTAGAAATGTTCTTTAAATTCCACTCTACTCTTGCATCCTTTGTTTTAGAATTTCTAAAAAACTAACAAAAAAATCAGAAAAAAAACAGAGAGAGAGAAAGGGGAAGCCATGGGTGATGTGAGTATACATCTTTTCAGTAACCAACAAGGAAAGGGAATTGTACTCCCTCAAAACCATATATGATATATCTACAAACAACAAGGAAGAAAACTGTATTTGATTATAAACTACTAACACTGTCATGCACACAGTGATAACTCCCTCTTTTGTTGTTTTTCACCCCCCCCCCTCCAGGTTTCAATGTTGTATCTAAACCTAGTCTTTTTCAACGTCTTTCATGTGGGTAGTTGGCTGGAGAACTTGAATACTGCTTCCAACCAGGGGATTGATTAACTGGCAGCCGCGGGATGTGAAATATAGAAAAAGAAAAGCCAAAGCATGGCCAACAAAGAGTAAATGCCATTAAAATCAAATACACAATAGCAAGTGTGCCCCCCCCCCAAGTTGTTCCATTTAACAGATTGGTTATATATATATAAGATGGTTCTTT